GCACCGCCGCCCGCGCCCCTCCCGGCCCGGCCGCCGGGTGGGTGGGGTCTCTGCTCTGGTCCACACGATTTAAGGTACTCACAAAGCGGGGGGAGGGAGAGGGACGGGGAGAGACTATTCCAGGCTCGGAGTTTCTCGCCTGACAAATGTAGTTTGCTACCCTGCCGTGTGCACCCCCTTCCCGGGGGCCCGCGCAGTGCTCCGGGCCGGGGCTCCCGGGGTGGCGAGGGAGCCTTGTATTCATAAGGTGGTGGGGGGTGAGAGGTGAGGCTGGGCGGGACTGGCAGACGGGAGGCATACTTGGCTCCTTGGATCGACCTTCCTCCTCCCCCCTCTCCCTCACATGCAGGGGTGGTTTCGAGAAAATGGCATACGTGTTAGCCATTCGCATCAGACATAGGTCGCCGGAATCTTACCTGGAGAGGCCATGTAAATCATGGTCTTTCTCCAGCTATGGGATGTGGGTCACATTTTAAGATCCTGGGTGAGTCAGTGGAGGGTGTGGGTATTTGTATCTCCAGGGCTAAGAGGACCCGGTCAGTTATGACCTGAAAATAGTGCATTATCTGGAAAGTATAGCAGTCCATACACGCATGGAAGGAAAAAAAAATATCAAGGTCATTGTGGGTGGGTCATAAATCATGGTGTAAAGTTACAGTCTACAATAATAAAGTAAGGATAATTAAGAACGTTAAAAAGATACGTGGGCCCTCTGCCTACTATGTTAATAGATGCGCCTAAAAAATTACCTACTTTGTAGCAAAAAAAAAAATATATATATATAGTTGTTAACCATTGATGAGTGTTTAGTATGTGCGTGTTTGGTGTACTGCCTCAAGTTCTTAAAATTCCTTAGATTTATTTTAAATACTCAGGGAGGTGCTCTATTTTTATCTCAGTTCTATCTCTTAATAACAAAGTAGGTTTTGAAAAAGAAAAGACTAAGAAATGAATTAGAATGAAAGACTCAAATGGTATTGTGGAAAGGATAAAAAAAACTTACGGTCCCATTTCTGTCACTTTCCAGCTGTGGAGTCTTGGTAGGTCAGTGACCCAGTTTGTTTTCTAATCCATACTACTAGACTAAACAACTATTGTGGAGATAAGGTTTTGCTGTGTCTCAGGCTGGCAGGGAATTCTCCATCTTCCTGTCTTGGCCTTCACAAGTAGTGGAATGACAGGTAGGCTAAGTTCTTGATGGCTAGTAGGCTCCTTGAAGATAGTTTTTTCTTTTAGCTTTTGTATATTTCTTTGGCAAATGTTGTGTTTGTAAATAAGCCCTTCAACATATTGAAAATACATTTAAACCATTTGCCTTATGAGAAGTCAGTAAAATATTGATGCAGTACCAACACAGATGAACTGCAGTTCATCATTTTGGATGAAAAACAATTAGACATTTTCCAGTTCTTGACATTTCTGTTCAACTTAGTGTACGTTAGAAGCTGAAGTTAAAGCAGAATATTTTAAGATAATGAAGAGGATTGTGTTTACCCACAGTTGGGATGCTTTGCTTAATAAAAGAAATAAGAATAAACAAAAAATAAAAAGCAAAAAGCACTTAAAATGTACACACATCAGCTTAACAAATTCTAGACAAGAAATAATCAGCAAATCATGTGTTCTTCTTGTTTGCCTACTGCATGATTTCATTCAAAGTGGTGATTCAGAACCTGTGGGAAGGCAAATGAAAACACAATGCCATAGATTAGGGAAGAAACGATTGAGAAATCTAGTAATGACTCCTTAGAGTTCTCTTCTAGAATCCTAATTAAGAGTGAGTCAATGAAAAATCTTCAGCCAAGGAAGCTACACAGTTGGGGTGTGAGTAGTAGTACTACCTGCATAACAGGTAAGATAGAGGAAAGATGCAGTTTTTCAAATAAAAGGCATTTTCACATGTGGTAGAATAATCAGTGCATAAATGTCTCTTTACAGAAGTTGAAAGTGATTCAAGTATTTTTGAAAAAATAAAAAATACAGGTGAGGGACTGTGGGTATAGCTCAGTGGTACCAGAGTGTTTGCCTCGGATATATAAAGTAAAAAGTGAAAAGAATAAAATGGAAAAACCCCAACTATTTTTTCCCCTCATTTTTCCTCCTTTCCCTCTCTTGATCCTCCTGCATCAGCCTCCCAAGTGCAGATAGGCACCACCATGCCTGCCAACACTGGTTTCTTACATAGCCAGAATAGTGATTTGAATCAGTTAGCTGAAGAAACATGTTTTCATAGACACTAGTAAGCACCTACTAGATACCAAATGGTGGTTGGTTTGATTTGTTGCTCCTTTTTTGGATGTACCCTTAGGGAAGATGTGACATTTTGAAAGTTTGTCTTTTACTTTTTTTCTTGTACTATTCTCAAAGTAGATTAACCTTCTTCCCAATTTCAGAGGCTGAATAAGGTATCGTCTCTCTCCACCAATCTGTCTCCCCTTTCATAGCAGGGGAGGCTAGTATGTTTTAATTAGTATGTTACTATTCACTAATTGCTTTTCATTTTAACTTAAAATGCTCATATGATCTCCACAGAGCTTTTAGTTTTATTTTTTTAACCTATAATTATAGAATAAATAACTTTATCATATACTTCAGGGTTTTTACCAGGGTGAAGGGAGATTTTTCTTTAATGTTAGTATTCTAGGAAGTACTGGAACCTAGGATCTTTGCCATAATTTCCTTGGTAAATTTTGTTGTAAAAACAATCTAATTCAACCCCTTTTTCTTCTCCTAGTCTGTCTTGGTACAGGAGGTAATAGTTCAATAGTAGCTACTCACCTTCCCTTTTACATGAACATTGCTCTTTAAATCCAGTAAAATCATTCCATTTTACCCTATCTGAAAGGGTTCCTGCTCATGTGCGTGCGTGCTTGCGTGTGTGTGTGTGTGTGTTTTCTGTTTTTTTTTTTTTTGAGCAGAGGTTATTCTTGTTGCTTGTTGCTAATGCTACATTTACTCTTTCTCTCTTTTTGGTCTTTTTTCCTTTGTTTCTACCTCTCTAAAGAAAAATTAACAGATAAACTATTTGTGTTGACAGAAGTAATATTTGCCAGTTGAATGGATATTTCCAAACTTGTAGGAGATTCTTCTGAAGCTTTTCACTATGGTGCAAGATTGTTAAAAGAGGTCCAGTATTATACTTGTTACCCTTGAGGTAGGTGTCCAGAAGAGCAAACATCAGTGTAGATTTAGTGCAGTGACTTGAGAGTTGTTCTTTTGACTTGATTCTTGAAACTAATGATGATGGAAGGTTGTAGTTTGACACTTTGCTCCACCCTTATTTTTACAAAAAATTTCTTGGAGAAATAATAATCAACTCTTGGTTGATTATTCCCTGCTTTAATTATACATTCTTCATTAGCCTCTGAAACTGATTTTCACCTACACTTCATTTCTTAGCAGACCATCTTGTTTGTATTTGAAAGAGATTTAGATTAGGAGCTTTAGTTCAGTCACTTTATTTTAGCTCTAACCTCTCTCCTTTTTTTGTTCCTTCATGAAGGTACTCAAGAGTAAGGTGTAGAAATACAACTTACCTAGTGCTTATAGTGTAAGACTAGCTGAAAGGCTGTAGTAGATGACATTGTTTCTCACAAGCAGTTTGTAGCCTCATGTGTTAGAGAAAACAGTGGGATATAGTTAAGTTGTATCACTACTGCTAATGATGTGACCTAGAAACACTTTCATTTGGGAGATTAAAGCTAAAAGCAAACCCAGTCTTCAAGTTTCTTTTCTTCTCCTCAACCCCACTTCCCTTTAAAGTTGCTATTTTGGGGATGCTGTTTCCTTGCTAGGAAACTTCTCATTTAAGCATGGCAATAACCTATATGTTGACTGCAGATAGTCAAATCTTGAAAAAGCAAGGGGAAGCTGTGTCACAGTATGAACATGGCTTTCTATTTTTAGCAGCTGTATAAGATTTATTTTCCACACGGTTGATAATAAATTGAATACCTGTGTGATACTTTTAAAAAATATTTTTATTGAGATTGATTACATAAATTTCACAGTATTGTAGGATAGTAATATTTAAAGACACAAACACATTTTAACCTTCACAAGGCAAATTGTCATTATTTTGGTTTTGAAAGTTTGTGAATTCTATAAGCTTTGACAGTACAACTATGTTTCTGCATTGGGTGATATGTACACTGTTATGTTAACTGTTCCCTCTTTCCCTCATTGCTAATTATAGGTGGCCAAGACATGATGGTTAGATAGCATTAACTCATGATTAATCAATTCTCAGAGTCAAATTAAATCAAAAGTCAAATAGCTTTATTAGTATGTTTTAATTCCATAAAACTATAATTTTCTATTTCCTAAATTTAAAATACTTTGAATTTTATATAGTCATCTAATATAGTATCCATTTTTCCCTTGATTCCTAAGAGTTTTTGTGGTTGTTTGAAAATTCACCCTATGAATTGTTGACTATATTCTTTCAGACTTAGCAATGTTAAAAAAATTTTTTTTGGGGGGGGGAGCTCTGGTCATGGGGCCTGAACTCTGGGCATGGGCACTGTCCCTCAGCTCTTCAGCTCAAGGATAGTGCTCTACCACTTGAGCCACAGTGCCACTTCTGGCTTTTTTCTTATGTGGTGCTGAGGAATCGAACCCAGGGCATGCAAGGCAAGCGCTCTACCACTGAGCCACCTTCCCAGCCTAAAAAATGTTTTAGAGGCATTTGTTAGTTCTGGTACTTTGGGGTATTGTTATCCCCTATCAGATTGTGGGACCCACCATTGCTTTTATACCACATAGATAAGATTTGATTCCATATTGGCTATAGTAGTTTCAGTACCTGAAATGTTAGTCACGTTATCAATATTTTGTGCTAATATTTCTATTAGCCACTAGACATATTAGTTATATTTTTATTAGCTATGGGTTAGTAAAGTTAGATTTTTCTTGATTTTTAAGCCAGTGAGTGATTGGCTTTGATTCATGGACAATTGGCCTGTGTTTATTATACCTAGTAATGTTACTATCATGAACTGCTGTTTTGCTGGAATACATAGGAAGCCACTCTAGAGTAGACCTGAGTAGCATTGTTGACTTTGGGGCAGATTTCAAAACATTAGGTCTTTCAAATTTTCATCTGGAAAAAGAGTTCATTCACTATTAGAATAGCAGTTCCTTAACTTTGGTATGCCATATTTTGCCCTTATGAGGGTCTCTACATCAAGGAGACCACTTTAAGGCATGCTAAAAAGTTAGAGTAGAAAGAAATGACATTTGGGCTGGGGAGGTGGCTCAGTGGTAAGAATGCTGGCCTGGCATGCATGAGGCCCTGGGTTCAAGTCCTCAGCACCACATAAGCAAAAAGAAGTCGGAAGTGGCGCTGTGGCTCAAGTGGTAGAGCACTAGCCTTGAGCTGAAGAGCTGAGGGACAGCGCCCAGGCCCAGAGTTCAGGCCCCATGACCGGACCCCTCCCCCCCAAAAAAATAAAGAAAGAAAGAAATGACATTTGACAGTGTATCATAGACCATAGAAAATATTGACCCTGCGATACGATATAGGCAGTACTTAAACCAAAAGAAGAATTTTATTGTCTTTACGTAGTAGTGCAGATGTGTTGCCATTCAACAAAGTGCTTTGTGAAGATGGTGCCTCTTGGTCAGTGTCATCTGTTCAGCATTCTCACCCTCCTCCCAACCACCCTTTCTTAATTTTGTAGCATATTTTTCCCATTTAACAAAGCAGTTTATATATACAATGCGATACTTTTGTTATTGTTGTTTTATTTCCTTGAATTTATTAAGGGGTATAGACATGACCGATCTATTTTTCATATCCCCATTTTTGTGGATATGCACTGTTGCCACAGTGCAAAGCAGTATGCTTAACACATTTGTAACTTTTCTATCCTTCACTTAGCCAAAAACTTGGGAGCTATCTAGGAGGCCCTTGCCTCTAAATTAACCACCTTTGCCTCTAAATTAACCACCCTTGCCTCTAAATTAACCACTGGGCCCTATTGGGTTTATTCATTAAATTCTCCTGGATCAGCCTTTTTTTAGACCTTGTTCTTTAACTGTCACTTTCTGCAATGCACCCCTTCCATCCTCATTTAAAGTTTCTCAAATTCAGGATGCTTGCTACTCGGCATTTCCATAGCTAGCTTGTTTGTTGCATATAGTTCATCCCAGTTCTTTATGCATCTACCCAAATCCAGCCTTCAGTTTGTTGCCATTCTTCTCCAAGTGGAAATTTGATCCCCCGAATCCATTGGTATTTTCAAAAATTTTCTGTTACGTTAGGATGAGGTATAAATTCACTGACATAACTTCAGTGTTTTTTCAGTCCTGTGCTCACTGTACCTGAGCAACTGGAGCTCAAATTTAGATGGCTGTGACCAGTGTTAAAAATTTTTATTAAAGTAAAATAGAATAAGTAATTTTTTTTGGCCTACTTTCATACCTTTATTTGTTCTTTCTTGGCCAGAAGAGCCTCTCTATTTTATCTAGCTAACTCAGAGCTGCATTGTTTCTAGGAGTCTTTTCCTGAAGATAACTTTCTGTATGAAGTCAGTCTGTTGTAATACAATGAAGTAAACATATACAAATATTCAGATAACTGATAAAAGTTTGATGTAGTGCTGTTTGTACTATGTGAGATGCCTTCTTGCCTTCTGTCATAGCTTGTCTTACATATATATTTATTTTGTTTCCTTACCATCTGTCCCCATTGAGGATAATGTCCCGAAGAATGGTACATAGTTAATACACATAGGTTGAATAAAAATATTAATTGCTATACATTATTTAGTATTGTTTTTTTAGTTTGAACTGTAGAAATTTACTTTTGTAGTTTCAGTACAGGAAGAAGGAAGGAGCACTTCCTGTAGCAGAGTTTGAGTTCAGTATCTTGAGTTTGCTTAGCTTATGTGTTCAGCTTGTTTACTTGGCTGGCACTCTACCGATTGAGTCATGCCTCCAGTTCAGCTTTTTGCTGGTTATTTTGGAGATGGAGTCTTGTGGACTTTTTCTGTCTGGTATCTTCTGAATCTCAGCTTCCTGAATAGTTAAAATTATAAGTGTGAGCTACTGGCACCTGGCTTCAAGAGCACAAGTTTGTCTTCATAGATCAGGAGCAAAAAGTTTTATTTTAAACTCTTCATTCTATATGAATTGTGATTGGATACTTCTAGTATAGGATGGGAACTATATTCATTCTTTACAGAATATCTCAGAATTGATTGTTATTTTCTGATTTATTCCTGCAAATTTAGTGACATCCAAACACTGGGAAAAATGCATATTTGATTTTATAGGAGTTAGTGATTTTTTATTTTTTATTTTTGGTGGGTCGTAGGGCTTGAACTCCGGGCCTGTACACCATCTGACACTGAGCTTTTCAGCTCAAGGCTAATGCTCTACCACTTGAGCCACAGTGCCTCTTCTGGTTTTCTGGTGGTTGGAGAGGGGAGCCCTATGGACTTTCCTGCCTGGCCTGTCTTTGAGCTATGATCCTCACGTCTCAGCTTCCTAAGTAGGATTACAGGAGTGAGCCATGGGTGCCTGGCTTGGAGTTAGTGATCTTAAAAGTGAATTTACATATATGGTGCTAATCAAATGCAAATTTTGAGGGGGGGTTAGAAAAAATATAAAAGCAAGGAATTAAGTAGAATTGAGTCATCTTTTCTTAATTCAGAATTTAAAACTTTCATAATTGGTATTTTCACAGAATATTTGGTTGCTTACAGTTTTTACCTTTGTTGAGAGATCATTATTTGTTAAACCATTAATAGATTCTCATGGAGAACTGTTGTTGAAGAGAAGTCTATTTGGTGGAATGTAATAAAAAAATGAATCAAGATAAAACTTCTAAATGCAAGTTCCAGAAAAATCACAACATATCTCAGTGAATTTGCAAGTGGTAAGTTTGCATTTGATTTTATTTGGGAATATGTTTCTGATGTATGTGCAATAGCGTCCTTGGAGTCTAGTGTTTAGATGCATGTAATTGTTTATTAGCAACTATAATTAACTTGCTTATTTAAAAATGTTCATAGTAAATTTTAATTAAGCTGATTTTCTTAAGTACTTTTTCCGAAGAGGAAATAATCTGTAAGTAATAGAAGTCTTACAAACATTTTTCTAAACTATATGGTTTTATAGCAGATCTTTCTGCCCTGCATTTTAAGCATTAAGTGATAAAGCAAAGGTCAGATTAAATGTTTTGTTGGTCAGGGATTATTTGTGTCCAATTGGCTATTTCTAGTTTTAGTTGATTGCAAAAAAAATGTAGAATTATGCATGTTTACTGATAAACTTTGAAGAACACAAATATCTACATAAAGCCTTCTTCCTCACTGCTTTCTTCCAGAAGCTCAGTGATAATCACTGACAATTTGGTTCCTGTATTTTCTTTTTTTCCCCTATACTACATGTATTTTCCCCTGTTACTTACATGTATTTTCTAACAAAAAATTATATAAACTGTACTCCAACTTGCTTTCTCTAATATTTAACTTTGAAAGCATTCAGAAGCATGGAAATTTTTTTGGGGGGCGGCGGGGGAGTGGGAGTGTTGGTTCTTGGGCTTGAACTCAGGGCCTAGGTATTGCCCTTGAGCCTCTTTGTGCTCAAAGCTAGCACTCTTCCACTTGAGCCACAGCGCCACTACTGGTTTACCGGTGGTTTATTGGAGATAAGGATCTTATGGACTTTCTTGCTTGAGCTGGATTTGAACCATGATCCTCAGAGCTCAGCCTCCTGAGGTGTGAGCTACCAGTGCTTGGCTTTGGAAGTAATTTTTGTAGTGCAGCATCTGAATGGTCATTACTTAGATTCTATAACTGCATCATATACTCATCTGTCCATGTCTACCCATCAGGAATTGGATCTATTTCAAAGCAAATTGTAGATCTCAGTACACTCCCTTTAACTGTACTTGGGTATCCATATTATTAACTGTAGTTCAATGTTGATTTACATGCTTTTTTGTGTTAATTTACATACCAAGAAATGTATCAATCTTAAGTGTACATTTGCTGAATTTTTAGAGTTTGAGTACTCAAACTCTAAATGTATGGCCCTTTATTTTCACCACAGAAAGTTCCCTTAATGTTTCTTCTTAGATAATCTCCCTCTAGAAATAGTTACAGATTTCCATTATAGATTTCCCCTTTGCCTGTGTAACTTCCTTCATTTAGGGTTATATTATAGATAGTCATAGGTATATCTAGACCTTTCCTCTCCCACATATTGCAGTAGCTTGGAAATAGTCTGCACTATGGATGTATCATAAGTTATTTTGCCATTCCCCTTTCTACATGAACAAATATGTTGTACCATATTTTTATGATTACAAGATGTGCTGTATCCTTGTATACCCTTGTATGTGTATATATGCTTGTATACTCTATGAGTACTTTTGTAGTTATTTTTAACACTAATACTTTGGTAAAATGGTTTTATAGTTTGATAGATACATTTTGCCTAATTACCTTCTAAAGATGATTACATCAGTTTACATGAATGTCAGTAATATGTGAGAGTGTTCTTTCTGTGACTTTCCAACATTGCATATCATCTGTCTTTCTAACGTTTTTTGGAGAATAGATGAAAAACCTAGTTATTTCATATTTTTCTAATCAGTAATGTTTAACCATTGCATTTAATTTTTTTCATATATATATACTTTACATTTTATCAATGTATTATTACATTTTTTCCAACAATTGTTTTTCTTTTAATTTTGCTTTTGTTGTGTTTTGGGCTCAAACATTCAAATCTGTGTGGTTTTATGTGTTTTAGTTGTGAATGCTGTCCTCTTTTTTTTTTTTGGTAGGTTGTGGGGCTTGAACTCCGGGCCTGAGTGCCTTCTCTCAGCTCTTCAGCTCAAGGCAAGCATTCTACCACTTGAGCCACAGTGCCACTTCCAGTTTTCTGGTGGTTTATTGGAGATAAGAGTCTCACAGGCTTTTCCTGCCCAGGCTGGCTTTGAATGCAATCCTCAGATCCTCAACCTTCTGAGTAGCTAGGATTACAGGCGTGAGCCACTGGTGCCCGGCTTGCTGTCCTCTTTTCAGGCTCTTAAAAACACTTGGTATTTTTCGTTTGTACAGTATTTTTGCTCTTTACTAAAATTTAAAAGAGAAAAAGAAGTCACTATGAATTTAGGTGTCTGAAAGAATTTAAATCTGGAAGGGCTGGAGGTGTGGCTGAAGTGATAGAGTACCTGCCTCCTGCCTAGCAAGTATGAAGCCCTGAATTTGAACCCTAGTAACACACACGCGTGTGTCATGTGCACGTGTGTGTACACACACACACATACACTCATATGGAGATTGAGATACATATTGACTTTGAATTATAAGTTAATTTTAATTTTTTTTTGTGCTAGTCCTAGTGCTTGAACTCAGAGCCTGGGGTGCTGTCCTTTAAAGAGTTCACTGCTAGTACTCTATCAGTTGAGCTCCAGCTCCATTTCTGGCTTTTTGCTGGTTAATTGGAGTTAAAGAGTCTCATAGACTTTCTTGCCAGCCTGACTTCAAACTACAGTCCTCAAATCTCAGCATTCTTCATAGTTGGGATTATAGGTCAGAAGCCACTGGCTTTCCTGGCTTATAAATTTCATATAGAGTTGTATAAAACTGTTTAGAGATAAATGTTTGACTAGATTTCTTTTTAAGTCCTTTGACTGATCTTTATGGTTGTCTTTATGGTTATCTTATTGTACAGTGGCCTTTGATTGTTTCCTTTTTTTTTTGTTGTTGTTGGTGGTGGTGGTTGCGGGGTTTTGAACTCAGGGCCGGAGTGCTGTCTCTGAGCTTTTGTGGTCAATGCTAGCTCTTTGCCACTTTGAGCCAAGATCCCTTTCCAGTTTACTGGTGGTTAGTTGGAGATAAGAGTCCCAGGGATTTTACTGCCTTGGCTGGATTTGAACTGCAATCCACAGATCTCAGCCTTCTGAGTAGCTAGGAATGAGCTACCAACACCTGGCTTTGTTGTTTTCTTCCTGAAGAAATATGTACTGACATACAATTGCCTGAAGAAAAGTAAAGGTTATGTCCCATTAATTCAAGCCTCATAAATATTTACTCAATATTTACTTTTATTAGAGTTGAATTATAATTTATTTAAAAACAGTTTGTGCTGTAGTAATTTACATACTTATGAGGTTCGTCACTGCCTTCAAGTATAGTGCCAGATAGCAATCATAAAAAAATGTGGAAGTACCAGTCTATCCACTAGTGACATCAAAGTTTGAGAACTGAGCTCACCATTTAATATCCAAATTAGTATGTTGTACAACTTTCATTAGCTAGAGATTTCACAAATGCAGCCCCTCAGCCAGAGTAGCAGCTCTGTGATCCATCAGTTGTTGCTCAGGATGTGTAATAGTTTCTGGGCAGCAGTAAGCCATGCCTGATAGACGGAGTGATCCAGCCACATCTTCCAGTTACGGGATTGTGGTTGTTATCTGATTTGGAGCTCCTAGAAGACCATTGGTTTACTCTGTACAACCCTATTGTGAGGATTATACGACACTAATTTTACTAATCAGGTATTTTAAATATTTAATATCTTTCTTGTTCATTGTTCAGTTTTTTGTGTCTGTGGAAAAAAATGTTCATTTTACCCTTGGGGACAGTTGTTCTTTTAGAGCTTATCATCTGTACAAGAAAAAAAAAAGAGCAATTTCAGGATATTTGTTACTATGTATTCTTTTGTGAGAGATCTTTGTTATTTTCTGCTAGAGGGGGAAAACAGATTTAAAAAAATGAATGAGTGTTTGGTAGTTTTCCTCATTTCATTGGCTTGAATATATTTTTTCTTTCTAATATTAATGAAGTTAGAAATGAGTAATAAAATTCTCCTATCTTATATGATTATTGAAGTTTACATTCTGGTTCTGAGTCCTGAGTGGAATTGAAACTTAAATGTACATGAAGTTTAGTAATACTGAGCATGTTGAGAGACAGAGCCTGTCAGTTTGTTTTTTAAGCATTTGACAGTTGATGAACAAAAATTGACCTTACTATGTGTGTGATAGCACTGAGGAGGCTGAGGCAGGAGGATCAAGGCCAACAGAGGTGACATAATGAGACATTGTATTAAAAAACAAACAACAAAATGACCAAGAAAAACGAAAAGAAACAAAAATCACATTTGTTGGAGTGTTCCTTTAGTTTTAAAAGAGCGATGCCTAACAAATTACATAGTATGCTTTATTCCCTCTCACTGCTCACTGTAACCATACTGATCTGTCTTCTGATTTCCTAATAAAAAGGGAACAATATTCAACTTTTATTTTTTTAAAAAAAAGGCCTAGGCATCATTCTTTAGAACTCATATGCAAATACTAATTTGTACTACACCTGATTTAAATCTTTCCATTCGTTTGAATTCATTCTTTCTCTCTCTCTCTCTCTCTGTTCCTTTTCTCTTACCTAATAATTTGTAGTATCTAGGTATGAGGAGGAGGATTAGACCTTTAAAATTAACCTTCCTTTGTTTCAGTAACTTAGGGCTTTAATGAACATTTTCAAGGCCTCGAAGGGGTGGGTACCTGGAGTTTCTTCAATTGAAGATAAATTATTTTTAGAATGAAATAGGAATGTAAGTTGGAATTCTGGGAATCATTCTTGGACTCTGCAGTATTACCTGATACCAAATCGATTAGTGAGACTCATTGATGTGATTCTAACAGTTTCTTCAACTAGTCCCTGCTCGAAAACTAGTTTTGGTCTTTGTCTTCTCTTCGCCTAAGTTATCCTGTCGTTAGTTTTATTTTCCATTCCAGAGCCTCAGTAATTTGTTTGAAGCACAGATTTTTTTCATGTTAGCCCACCCCCCACCCATAGCTTTCTCATGCCTCGGAATGAAGTCTTTCCATGCTAAATGGTATCTTTGTGTCCTTCATGTTACAACCCTTTATATTCTCCAAGTTACTGTCCACAGAAAGCTAGGTGGTTTGTGATGGTAGTTTGTAACATCACCTTTTATATATCTCCTGTCTTATATATCTCCTGCTCTTCCTTCTGTGTGCATTATTATCATTTTGCTTGATTAATTTTTATGATTGAGCTCATTTTTCACCTATTATAGGAAGTCTTGCTTGAATCTGATTTAACTAGTCTCTATCACCTATGCCCATACTGGCAACTTGTCCACAAATCTGGATTTTAGCATATAATACTAAACCTTTTCTATGACTCCTTTTCCCCATTAGCTTGTTAGTTCATTAAACAAGTCTGTGTTTTACTTAGAGCTGTATCTTCAGTGTCTTGCAAATGACTAGTAGATACTGGAGACTCAATGAAATCTAGTTGAACTGGGGAAGTTCAACTCATGGCTGTAACACTGATGTTCGAGTGAAGTTCAGTAGTTTAGTAGTTCTTAGATAATATTCAGCTGTATCAGGCTTCTGGAGAGTATCTTACTGATTTTCAAGTTTTATGAAGACTTACGATTCAGTAGATTTGGAATGTAGTTTGGAATTATGGTTTTTAAAAAATTTTTTGCTTTTTTTTTTAAAGCTCCCTAGTTGATTCTGGAGAACCATTGTCCAAGTTTATTATAAAATTATATTTTATGTTAGACCTTAAACAGTAATTTATTGTTTAAACTTTTGTAGGTTGTATTTTTCAACATATGGATATATTTTAAGTCACTATATCAATATCATATGTATTGAAGTATCTTAACTCACTTAGAGACTGTGTCTCATTTGAAGATCTGTTGGTGGATTGTTAACACTTAACTGAAAATGAATCCCCATTTTAAGTGGAAGCTTCTTCAGGACATTGTAATGAGACTTTAGTATTCTTAGCAATTGTAATTTTAAATTTTCACCAAAAATGACTTTTAAAATGTTGTGATTTACAACTTGAAAAGTGTGCAAGTCTCAAGTGCACAGCTTAGTTAGTTTACATGTATATGTGTGTATATATATGTGTGTGCATATATATGTGTGTGCATATATACATATATACACACACAAAGACCATAAAACTCTTATCTTTAATAAACATATATATGTGTACACACACCACACACACACATGCCAACAAAGTTCTACCAAGGTCATGATGCAGAACATTTTTAGCTTCTCAGGGTTTGTCTAAAGTTCCTTTCAAGTTAATACACTATTTCTACCCCCAAATAGCTACAATTTTAACTTGTGTGACCATCAGCTAGTCTTACGGTTAGTTACTAAACATTTTTATACATGTTTTTTGCTGACATATCCACTCATTTCTCTTGGGTTTAGATGTGCAATTGCTGGTTTAGGACAAATGTGTTTTAACTTAAGAAATTGTCAGCATTCACTCTTTTTTTTTAAATTTTATTTTATTTGTGAACATACTGTACAGAGGGGTTACAATTGCATGGGCAGGATAATGCGTACATTTCTTACCAAGCATTGCAGCCTCCTCCTTTGTTTACCCTTCACATCACTTCCCAGCCTCCCCCCTCCCCCCCAGCATTCACTCTTTTTTTTTTCAGCATTCACTCTTAATAGCAGTAATAATTGAAATTAAATTATTGAAGCATTTGGTGAAATTTAAATGTCCCAAAATTTCTGTTTTTTAAAAAAGAAATTTGTGAAACTTAGTAAATATTATTTTGGAGTTTCTATAAATGTAATTTTTAATTCATTACTTCTTTTCTGTTAGTAACTTTTTCTTTTTTTTCCTTTTTAGGATTGTCTTCCTTGTGGGTTGGCAAGCAGTTGTAGGACTGCAAAATGGGTCTCCGGATTCACTTTGTTGTTGACCCACATGGTTGGTGCTGCATGGCTTTGATTGTCTTTGTCTGGTTATACAATATTGTTTTAATTCCCAAAATTGTTCTCTTTCCTCACTATGAAGAAGGACATATTCCAGGCATATTAATAATAAGTAAGTTTCTAAGTCTTTATTTATTTCCTTGTATAATTAAACACTTTTTCTCATTGTGAATGTATTTGAAATATAATGCACCATGCTTATGTTTTAGAATATTATTTTAGTAATATTAATATTACTGACTATGCTATGGAAGTTGAAAAACAGTACTTGTAATATATTTTCAGTTAGATAAAATGCTACCTCCATATCTGTCTAGCTCTGAAAAATATAAAGATTATTTATAAAAACTTATCAGTACCAATGGTATGTGTCTGTGTACATTTTAATATTTCTGTTTTCTATTTTTGCAAATATGAAAGCTATGTTTTTGGCTGATATTTTGACACAGAGTTTCACTCTGTAGGCTGGCCCCTACTTGTATGCTGTCCCCTACTTGTAATCTTCTGTTTTTGCCTCCTGAGTACTATGGAATTACCAGTGTGTGCCACTGTGCCTGGCTTAATGTGAAAGTTTTAAGAAGATGGTATGTGTTGAGAGATAAAATTCCATTAAAAAATTGTTGATTATGAGAGCATTTTGAACTTAAGATAATCTTCTGTAGTTCATTGTTGATGATTTCCTTATGATTTAAAGAGGAGCCCAAATTGATATATTTTATATGTCTATAGCAATTACAGTTCTCATATTTTTTACTCAAAAAGGAAATCCATTAATTTATACCATTGTTTATTTGGAACGATTGTGAAAGAATCTGATTTGTAACATAAATATCCATTATAATATAAAATAATGTTTTAAATAGATGCATCTCGCCGGGCGCTGGTGGCTCACGCCTGTAATTCTAGCTACTCAGGAGGCTGAGATCTGAGGATCGCGGTTCAAAGCCAGCCCGGGCAGGAGAGACCGTGAGACTCCTATCTCCAGTAAACCACCAGAAAACTCGAAGTGGCGTTGTAGCTCAAGTGGTAGAGTGCTTGCCTTGAGCTGAAGAGCTGAGGGACAGCGCCCAGGCCCAGAGTTCAAGCCCCATGACCGACAAAAAAAAAAAAAAAAAGATACATCACATACAGACTTCTTATCAGTGTTAGGTAAGTGAAAGGAGTTAGTCACATAGTTTTTCCATCTCATCTTTTGAAATTTTTTTCCTGATATTAATTAAAATATGTGTTTTAGCCAGGCTGGTGGCTCACACCTATAATCTTGGTTGATCAGGAGGCTGAGATCTGAGGATCTCAGGGGCAGGATTGTCTGTGAGATTCTTATCTTCAATTAACCCCTAAAAATCTAGAAATGGAGGGATGTCTCATGTGGTATAGCACTAGCCTTGAGCAAAATAGCAAAAAAAGTTATATCGTCCAGGCTCTGAGTTCAAGCCCCAGGACTGGTAAAAAAAAAAATGAAGAAAAAAGAAATAAAATGTACATTTTAAACTTTAAATGTGATTCTTAGTAATATCTTTTAAAGGATAAATGACTAACTCATTTAATTTATTTATTTTAAAGTATTCTATGGCATTTCCATATTTTGTCTGGTCGCCTTAGTGAGGGCCTCAATAACTGACCCAGGACGACTCCCTGAAAACCCTAAGATCCCACATGGAGGTATAGTACTGCTTTGAATTATCAAATTTCCTTTGTAGGAACTATCATCTTTATTGATGCTTTTGTTTCCTTTGGTGTATATACTGTGTATGTGTGCGTGCGCATGCATGTGTGCGTGTGTGTGTGTGTATTTAGTAGCTCTTTTAAGTCTTTCCTCACATTTCTTTACAGAATTCTCTTTATTTAAAATCATAAGCCCTCCCCATCACCTCCCTCTTATTTCTTGACTTTTTCTGCTTACTCATTTATGATGATTTTCTCTCACACTTACTCTGAATATGATGGTACAGAATTTTTTTTGTTTTCTCTTTGTTTAATACTGTTTCCTTAGCCTCCAAAAGTCTTTGTCACTTAGGTATAAGCTGATGGCTTATACCTGTAATCCTAGCTACTCGAGAGGCTGAGATCTGAGGATCGAAGTTCAAAGCCACCCTGGGAAGGAAAGACTGTAAGACTCTTACCTCCAACTAACCTCCCTAAAACCAGGAGTGGAGCTGTGACTCAAAGTGGTAGAGTACCAGCCTTGGGCAAAAAAAGATCATGACAGGGCCCAAGCACTGACTGACAATAACAACAATAACGAACAAAATATACACACACACATACATATACATATATATATATATATACACACACATATATATATATATACGTGTATATATACACACATATATATGTGTATATATGAGGAATACTATATTTATGAAAGAAATTTTCTTCTTCCCTCATGACATTATAAATACAGTTTGGAGTAAATATAGGAATATAGATACCATCTTCTCTAACATCTAGTAATTCTGTGAAAAATTTGAAATTTTTTTATTTTGGTATCACTTGAAGACATTTTTTTAGTCATTGTATAGTAACTCTTCAAATACAAAAATTAATGATGAGGATGACTTACAAGTTTAGAATGATTGCCTAGCAAGTGTTAGTACCACCAAGAAAGAAAAAAGATAAAAGGAAAGAAAATAAGTTATTTTGTTACATGCCAGATATAGCATACCTTATTTTTTTGTTTTTTGATCGGTCATGGGGCTTGAACGCTTGGGCGCTGTCCCTGTGCTCTTCATCTCAAGGTGAGCGTTCTGTCAGTTGAGCCACAGCTCCACTTCAGGTTTTTGAGTGGTTTATTGGAGATAAGAGTCTCAAGGACTTTTCCTGCCCTGGCTGGCTTTGAACCGAGATCCTCCATCTCAGCCTCATGAATGGCTAGGATTACAGGCGTGAGCTACTGGCGCCTGCTGTATTACCATAATGAATATCTGAGGCAGGCCACTTAGGAAGAAACACACAGCGCTGGGGGATGGGAGAATATTGTGGCATCTTGCTGACTTTTTAGATGTCCTCTGTCTGTGTTCTCAGTTGGTGAGTTTTTCTTCCCTGAATCCAAGAAACTTCCCTCTTACCAAATTGAAAAAAAATTATATTTTATGTTTCTAAAGACTTTGGGGTAGCTCACATCACATGATCCTCATGATAATCAAGGATAATTGTGTTAATTGAGGCTGGGTAGTCAGTTCTCAGATTGTATACCTGTAATGTTGCAGAGTTACTGAAACCTAGATCTTCTCTATGATCTTTTGACTATGGATTTGTAGATGCATGAATAATTTTAGCTCATTGCTTCGATTCTGGGACAATTTCAGTCATTACATACTTTTTTGTGCTAGCTACCCAATTCTTTATAATATGGTTTTAACTTAGTAAGTTACAAAATTTTAATAGTGAAAAATAATATAGCATGACTAAACGGTTGAAGGTGTAGAATAGTGGCATTTACTTAGGAATGTTTGGAGCTGGGAAGTTTAATGGAAAAGCGTTCTTCAGGAAAGGATATTTAAAATTCTAGTACTTTTATGATTTCAACCATTTTTTAATTCAGTTACTCTGAAATATTTTACATTATTATTTTCAAGAATAACTTTAATATGCATGTGACCCATTAAATAAAAGGCAAACGGAACCTCAGGGACTATTATATTTTCCTGTGAATATATTCTTAAAATTTAATTTTAAAAACTTGAACATAGGCCAGGTGTCAGTGGCTCATGCCTGTAATCCTAGCTACTCAGGAGGCTGAGCTCTGAGGATCACGGTTCAAAACCAGCCTGGGCAAGGAAAGTCCATGAGACTCTTATTTCCAATAAACCACTAGTAAACCGGAAGTGGTGCTGTGACTCAAGCGGTAGAGCACTCGCCTTGAGCTGAAGAGCTGTGGGACAGTTCCCAAGCCCAGAGTTCAAGCCTCACGACCGACCCCCCACCTCCCAAAAAATATCTTGAACGTAGATGAAATTGTTAAAATTGTATAGTTTTCAGATTATTCACATGCGTGCTTGAAATAGCAAATATAAAATAACACCTTAGATATATTTAAAAGGACTTTCACATTTTATAAGATAAAGCTCTTAGCTTTTTTTTTGGTTGGTCCTGGGTCTTGAGTTCTGGGCCTCAGCATTGGCCCTGAGCTCTTCAGCTCAAGGCAAGCATTCTACTGCTTGAGCCAGTGCCACTTCCATTTTTCTGGTAGTTAACTGGAGATAAGAGTCCTACAGAGTTTTCTGCCTGGGCTGATAATTGCACTAAGATTCTCATATCTCAGCCTCCTGAATAGCTAGGATTATAGGTGTGAGCCACCAGTGCCTGGCCCCAAGATATTTTCTTTTTATTTAGTATGTTTTTATGCTATTCCTCAGAAAATCACACCAAGCCAAGAGAATACATATTATTGATAGTTAAGGTTATCTATTCACTCATAGTTAGTCATTTCTTTCCTCTTTTTTAAAAAATTAATTTACTTTATTGTCATTATAGTAGATATACACAGAGGGATTACAATTATATGAATCAGGTAATGAGTATATTTCCTTCAGTACAGTGTCTTCTGTTCCTTCATTTTTTCCTTTTTCTTCCTGTAACAGAATGGACATTGATTTCCTACACTGAAGACTATTTGTGTAAGGGAATCTAGATTAGAATCCAAACTACCTATAATTTTGGTAGTTTCAAGTAATATTTTTCTCCATAAAACATTACAGTGTGATTTAAATACAGTAAATACATTTATATTTATATACAGTAAAAATTTGCTTTGTTTTGAGACAGGGTCTGACTACATAGCTTAGACTTGAATTCATAATCCCCTGCCTTATTCTCCCTGATGGGATTGTGTCACTATATCTGGCTAGATATGAGTCTTTAAGAAGACTCAAATAGCTAGGTGCTGGTGGCTCATGCCTGCAATCCTAGCGATTCTAGAGCCTGAGATCTGAGAACTGGATCAAAGCCAGCCTTGGGCAGGAGACTGTATGAGTCTTATTTCTTGTTATTCACCAAAAAATTAAACATCCTCAACCAGGGCTAGAAAGGTGGCTCAGTGGTAGAGTGCTTGCCTTGCATTCATGAGGCCCTGGGTTTGATTCCTCAGCACCACATAAGCAGAAAAAGCCAGAAGTCACACTGTGGCTCAAGTGGTAGAGCGCTAGCCTTGAGCTGAAGAGCTGAGGGTCAGTGCCCAGGCCCAGAGTTTCAGGCCCTATGACCGGCAACAAAACAAAAACTCAACCATCTTTTTCTCTGCTTTATTCTTTGAGTTTTCTTCCTCATAAATGTGTCTGTTAGCTTTTAATTTTTTATAGGCATCATAGATTATCAGTTGGATTCTATCCCTTTGGGTTTTTATTTTATACTATTTGATGACTAGTATAAAAATCTCATAGATATTCAGCAGATATCAGAATGTACCCATCACCAAGATCCTATTTAGATATAAGCAAACCCTGAAGCAGGATAAGATTTATAAATGCTTTCTTAATAAACAAGGTACATGGATCTCCCCACTTTGCTATACCAGATAAAAACATACCTTCGCTCCCCCTTCCTTTTTTTTAATAATGTGTTTTTTTCTTTTTCTTTTTGTGTGTTTGTGCCAAAACTTGAACTTAAGGCCTTTTTAGCTCTGGCATGGTGTTTTTTGTTTTTGTTTGTTTGTTTTTTTTCCTCACAGTTGTCACTGTTTTGCTTGAGCATGCCTCCAGTTTGACATTTTTCTGGTTAATTAGAGTCTCATGAACTTTTCAGCTTGGACTAATTTTGAACCTCATTTCTCAGATCTCAGCCTTCCTAGTAGCAAGGAATATAGGCTAGATTGTGTGTGTGTGTGTGTGTGTGTGTGTGTGTGTGTGTGTGTGTGTGTGTGTGTGATAGGGTCTCACTTTTGTTGAGGCATATACCTGTACTACAGTCCTCCTGTTTTACACTTCTTTCAGTATGTACCTGGGTGACAGTTGTGTGTGCCACTATGTCCAGCTCATTCCACTGAGATGGAGTTTTACAAGTTTTTCTCCTCTCACCCTCCTTGCTGGCCTGGAACTCAGACATGCTCTTATCAGCCTCTGATATAGTTATAATAACAGACATGAGCCACCACAGACAGTGAACATTTCTAGATTTTTTTTTTTTTGTCAGTTGTGGGGCTTGAACTCTGGGCCTGGCCGCTGCCCCTCAGCTCTTCAACTCAGGGCTAGCTCTTTACCACTTGAGCCAAGGCTCAACTTCCCATTTCTAGATTTTTACAATAGTGATTTTTTTTCTTTTCTGAACATGTAGGAGGTATTGTGTATGCTTTTAAAAACATGTATGTGAAACTGTTTATTGGTCCTTCCTTTCATTTTATATACATCTGTATTGTCTTCAGTTTAGCTAAAGCCTTTCTTCCAGATATATTTTTGAATATTTTTATTATCATGCAGTATTTGTACAGAGGAGTTGCCGTTCTCCAAAGCAGTGTATGAATACAGTGCATCTTGATCAGTGCCCCCCTTCAACATTCCTAACTATCCCTCCCAACCCACCCTTTCCTTTACTTAATTTTAAGCTGTGTATTGAATTTTTTCTTGCCTTTTAACAAAGCAGTTTATGTATATAGTGCATCTTGATCTGTGTCATCATTTCGACATCTTCACTCCCTTTAACCCATTCCTTCCCTTATATCTCTCAGTACTCTGTGTGTGTGTGTGTGTGTGTGTGTGTGTGTATGTATAATGAAATCTTGCCTTCATTCTCCTCCCTTCCCCCTTCATTCTTCTACCTTTCTCCCATTGTCCCCACATACCCCTCTTGCAAGTACCCTTTCCTGGTACTTATTTTCTGGGGCTTTGACTTGGTCTTTTTAAAGAATTACACTAACTGCACTTTCCATAGTCTGTAACACTTCAGTTAGTTCATGTGTAACCCCTTGCATATCACCCAGTGTGTTTACTTGTAGATTTATAGGCACATAAATAAAGGAAACCTTACAACCTATGTTTCTCTGGATATGGCTTACTTAATTGTTTTCCAAGTCTTTCTATTTCCTTACAAATGGTACAATAACATTCTTTCTGATGTTTTCATCCAGCTAGCTAAAAAAAGAGATTTATGATTCAGACCATAGATCAGCAAAATTACTCTTATTGTAAAGGCCTGGTAGTAAGTAATATTTCCAACTTTACGTACATATGGTCTTTGTCACAACTCAGCTTTGCACAAAAGCAGCCATAGACAATGTGAATTGCCATATAACAAATAAAACAACATGAACACTGGAATATGACACTTACATGTCAGAAATTACTAATTTTCAGTCATTAAAGTTGTAAAATCATTTCTTAGTTTATGGGTCATATGAAAACAGGTGGTGGATTAGCCTTGCTTGCAGACGCTCTGGTTTGCCAGCCTGTGGTCTAGACTATGGAATTCTAGGCTTTCCCTTACCATACCCAAATACTTTATTTTCTGAAGATACAACATTTTAGATATGAACTAAAGCATTTATTCTTTAGACTATTTTACATTGATTTCTTAGAAAATACTACAGTGAAACTGCCATATTTTAAAGGACAAATTATAAGCATGATTTTTTGTATTGACTATTGGTGAAAATTGTCTTATAGTGGAGTCTTCTGCCTGTCTATATTCCTTGCAGTGTGTGAATTCCAAGTTGTAGCATTGGGATGTTTGGGAGCATTGAGTTAGTGGAGAAAAGAATGGTATGCTTGTGATCATATAGTATATTCCATGTGGAATGTTTCCAAATCAGATTAGTTTAGTTGTACTTAAGCTTTAGTCTTGGTCTCACCCATTGTATTTTCAGTAAAATAATGAGTGTAAGTAAAAAATGAAACATTGTCTTTTAAGATGATATTGCAAATATAACCATTTAATATTGATGAAACAAATTATTTGATACAAGTTTTGTACTTAATTGGTTTCTTCAGAGACTTTTCCTGGAACCTTACTGCATAGAATTCCCAGGCTTTAAACTAAAATGATGCAATTCAAATAAGGAATCTTTAGACAATTGCTATTACCTTCTTTTTTAGATTCCTTCCTTCCCCTTCCCCTTCCCCTCTCCAGATTTCCCCCTCCCCTTCCCTGCTTCAGCAGGTATTTACCTACTGCTTGCGGTGTGTTAGGGTCACACTGCATGTACTAATACTCACTTTGAATATGAGAAATAGGGTATTTTACCATGCCCATACTTTAAATGGGTCATGCCCATACTTCAAATGGGCTTTAGTGTGAACATTGAATGCTAGAAAAACTAAAGAATTTTATAAAAGTTCATTTCCATAAATGTAAGATTTTATATATTAAAGCTATTGTCTTGGAAGACAACTTCCATAAGTTTTACAGATATGATTAGAACAATTTATAATGAAGACCAAATACTTTTTCCTAACACAAACTTCATGTTTTTTGCCACTGCATACTCTTTTACTTTAGACCAGAGGGAATTGCTACTTGGGTGCCAGGAGACAGCTGTATAGAGAACCTCTCTGTTGCTGAGCATGATGGCCTATACCTGTAATGCTAGCACTTAAGAGGTTAAGGCAAGAGGATGATGAGTTCAAGATCAGCTTGGTTTACAGAGAGCTCTGTTCCAAAGGAAGCAAAACAAACAAAAGAAAAAAACAAAATCAGAAGGAAAAACCAGCCAGACTAAAAGAACTATTTAGTACTTTGGCAAATTTTCTTCACTTGTGAAACCATTCTTACACCTTCTAAACCCATCTGACCCCAACATGTTCATATGAACACTTATATTAAAAAAAATGAAATGATTTAGGGAAAGGTGTGTGTGTGTGTGTGTGTGTGTGTGTGTGTGTGTGTTCCATTTCTATTTTCCTATTGAGTTTACAGGAATTTATTTTAATGTATTAATTGAAATAGGACTTAGCATTATTTCCTAAATGTTTTCAGATCATAAAATTCCTATAAGCTTGTCTAGATAAAATTTTGGTTTTGTGTAATACCTTGGATTTTTGTCACTAGATTTTACTTATATTCTAGTAACATGTCTGAAACACACATATATTATTTTCTTTTATTTGTAGTATACTTGTAGACATAACATAGAACAGCAACATTTATGGCTAAGATATTTACACTGGAGAATCAGAAGAAAAAAAATCTCTTAGAAATATATTCTATAAAATCTTGATCTAGTGTTGCTGAATTTCAGCATTGCTCACTTGCCATTATCAAGTGGATTTTCATGTTCATTTCTAGAAAGGGAGTTCTGGGAGTTATGTAACAAGTGTAACTTGATGAGACCAAAGCGTTCCCATCACTGCAGCCGCTGTGGCCACTGTGTGAGGAGAATGGATCATCACTGTCCATGGTAAGAAACAGATCTATTTTTAAGAAAACAAAGAGGAAAATTTGGCAGGAAATATTAGGAGAAATTTTCAGGCTTAGAGGCGTATGCCTGTAATCTCTGCACTTGGGAGGCTGAGGCACAGATTCATGAGTTCAAGGCCAGATATACAACAAGACTTTGTCTCAAAAGACCATACAGATAAGCAAGCAAACAACAATAAAAATCTTAGAACTTCAAGTTAAAAAAAGTTTATATTAAAGTTACCTTATTTAAGAAATTCTGAATAGTATACCTTTATTTATATGGTGGTATGAACTTTCTCAGTAATATTGCCAGAGATCATCTTTTATTACAAGGAGATGTTTGAATAGAAAACTAAAAAATATCATGCACCAAATATACAAAAGGTTTAGGGTGTTTATATTAAATGAGGCAATGTGTGTAAAAACATTCGGTACAGTATCTGATGTGTAGGAAGTACTGATGTACAGACTATGTATATCCCATTGTTTGCATTCCCTTTTTCTTGTTCAGTTAAAGAAGAATACATTTCAGACATCCTGAAAACACCCATCTTCCCCCTTAAACCTTCTAAAATATTTTATATTGGGTGCAGCTGTTCATATTTCCTTCCTGTTGGAAGTATTAAGTGGTGATAATTAGCTGTTTCTGCTGCTGAATTGCCAACATTTTGGTCAATAGGGGGCTCTCTTGTAATACTTAAAGAAAATATGCTGAAAAATAGAACTTCAAAAACAAATGCTGTGAGAATTCTGTATTGTCTCATTTCAAAGCTGTCACAAAAATCTGTGAATAAGATATTGTATTTAATTCTGTTTTCCTAGCATTTGATTTTGTATAAATATTTAAACTGGTATACTGTAACACTTTATAAATATAACTACATACATAAATGTTTATGTTGGTACACACATGAATGCATACAATATATTCAAAATCAACTATATAATAGCCTTTATAATTGCCCCCCGGCCTCCCCCCCCCCCGGCTTTTTCTTTCTCTCTTTTTCTATCTCTCTCTCTTTTGGTCCTGAGGTTTGAACTCAGGGCTTGGGCATTGTGCTCAAGGCCAGCACTCTACTACTTGAGCCACAACTACACTTTTGGCTTTTTGGTGTTTAATTGGAGATAAGAGTCTCATGGATTTTGCTACCTGGGCTGGGTTTGAACTGCTATCCTCAGATCTCAGCCTCCTGATTAGCTAGGATTATAGGTGTGAGCTACCAGTGACCTGACTGCATTTATCTAAATTTGAAGAGTAAAAATTATTTTGCCTAATGATGTTGATCAATTTAGAGTTTCTCTTATTTTTGATAACTTCATTTGATGACATAGGTCATTAGCAAACTTTAGTTGGTTACTATATACAAAATTTTTAAATTTCCTAAATTCCTTAATAAAATACTATGGTGTATGGTATGATATATAGTGTTAAAAATATCTTAACTTTGAAAAGATTCTCAAGTGATTCTTTAAACCTCAAAGTAATAGATTAAACAAAGCCATTTGAAACATATATTCAGATAAGTGATAATCACACTGAAAAACTCAAAGTGCTTTTTAACACTTTTAATAGTAGCACATCGAATTAGCTAAAAATCTTAATTTGTTTTCATGGTGAATTTGATATCCTTGTAAAAGTATGCCATAGTTTTAAGATTTAAAAAATATCAGCTAGAAAATATATTTGTAGACAGTAATGTACTTGAGATAAAGACTTGATTGTTGGTGAGAAAATAAAGTATTGCTTAAATTATGATATTGGGATGACTTCTCTCTTTAGAGGGTTAATTCTTTTCAGGTTTTTAGGTAACTTCTCAAAATTGATAAGAAAGAGAGAGATGCAGAAAAGAATGCAAGTTTGGAAGTGAATACACTGGTCCCAAATAGATTGAGAAATTGAATTTATGACTGAATTTCCTAGTAGAGCACTGTTGAGTAAGGGAAATGTGCAGTACAATTGGAAGCAAAGCCAGATGGGTGTAATCCTAGCATGTCGGAGGCTTAGGCAGGAGGATTTTGAGTTCAAAGCAGACTGAGTTACATAGGAAGAAGACCTTGCTCAGAAAACCCCAAAAAGAAAGCAAAGAGAATATTTAACTTTTTTTCAGAAACAGCACTGTTTTAACTGTCTAGATTTTGGAGGAAAATTCTGATTGCCTCAAGATTTTCTAATTTCTTTCTCTGATCATCCTTTCAAAATTATTTAAATGTTTTAAAAAGAATTCATATGCAGGTGGAATACCTTAGTCCTTTTTAAAGAACCCTGGTTCAAATTGCTGTGAGCACAGTAGGTTTTTCCAAGTGTTTTGGCAACAAGAAGGGTGAGACAAGGATATCGTTTAAGCAGCATCTGTTGAAGAACCTTTTTGAGGGCACATAGGAGCTCATTTCTCTTAAAAGTCCTGATGGCAAATAACAAGACAGTGAATATTGTTGTTTACAAAAGACATGTTCTTAATGTGGAGAAATATTTTCACAAGATTTTTCACTCTGTTTTGTATTTGACTTAAAAAGTAATTTAAATGATACACTTTAAAAGCTATTAAGTTAGGAATAGAACCTGTTAGATCTTTTCCCCCCATAGTTTTTATTTCTGTTGTAATCTTAAAATTCTTCGCAGATTTGACTACAGTGGCTTTTAGTACATTAAAATACCCTGTTGAAATTAGTTTTGAAAATTGTGGGATTATAGCATTAGTCTTTTGTCTAAGTTTTCACTTCACTGTTGTTTTGATGGCATGTAGCTCAATGTGTACATAAGTTTGAATACATTTTATTTTCATCAATCAGGGATAGTTTTGAAAATGTGATGCTTAGCAGCTATGTCAGAGTGGCCAGTTTAAGCTATTTTACTTGAAGGCATTCAGATCATTCCCCATAACTAGAACTACGCAGGAAAAGCAATATCAGAAAGGACTCTTCCGTCATCTTCTCTTGGCTTCTATTGCTTCTATTCCTCTCACTGGTGGCTTAAATCTTTTGTTTCTGTTTCCAAATCAGTGCAACAAAGAACTACCTACCATCTGGTGTTCTTCCATACTGGGTTGCTCTGCTATACGGGGTTGCTGTGAATTACAGGGGGGTAGTATATAAATGGTCTTGCGTTGTAAAGAGTGTTTTATAAATTTAGAGTGGTATGTTTATATCTTGGTACAGTTTGCTCTAAGATATGATTGGCTTTAGCATATTTCCATGAAATTAAGCACATGTGAAACTTTGAGTTTTTGAGTTTTTCTGATCCTGAAATGAACATGTTATTAAAGTTTGAACTATTATTTGTTTGTTTCCTTCAGGATAAACAATTGTGTTGGTGAAGATAATCATTGGCTTTTTCTGCAGTTGTGTTTCTACACTGAACTTCTTACTTGCTACGCACTGATGTTTTCTTTCTGCCACTATTACTACTTTCTTCCACTAAAAAAGCGTAATTTGGTAAGCTCTCTTTTTTATCCACTAATATTAAAGCTTCTAGTGCATATGGTTATTGGGCTAAGTGCAAATGATCTAAAGTAAAACAGTAAAAATAAACCCCAGATTGGTAAGTTTTAAATGATAATGGAATTGAAAAAGTAGGCCTTAGTTGACATTGCCTTTTAAACAAATCTCATTATAAGTATTTTTTAGTTGAGTGATTTTCTTTACAAAATAACACAATAGATCTTTCAATGTACATGTCTTGATTTCAAAAGACTTAAAATGATGAGAAGGAAAAGGGAAATGCTAAATACTTGTTTCATAGTTTAATGTTGTAAAGGTTCTTAAAAGACAATTAAATTTTTGACAAAAGGAGTTCCTTTCTCCTCTGACTTTTTCTTTTTCTTTTCTTTCTTTCTTTCTTTTTTTTTTTTTGAGATGGAATCCCTATGTATTGCCCAGGCTGACTTTGAACTCAAGCTCCTCCAGCCTTTGCCTCCTGATTCCTATGTCACTGAACCTCTGTTCTGACTTTCAGCATTTATAAGATGAATTTGCTGGATGATTTTGAGGCAGTGCTTTTCCCATTTTGTCGTGGAAGTGCAGTAGATGTTCAGACTTACTTAAAATAAGATGGTGGAGATGGTAATGATAGCAGAAACTAGATTTTTTTGATTCTTTGTGTGTGCTATGGACACACTTGTATGAAAAAAACAAACTAAACTAGGAATTACTTATTTAATTAGATTTAGTGGTAGAGTTGGGATTTGAGCCTTCATTTATATTTTTAAAACTTGTACAATGTTCATTTGTCAAGAAAACTGTGAGAAATAAACTGTGGCTACTGTTTATATTAAAAAATTGTGTGTGAAACAGAATGTGTGTGAAAGCATGTGTGAGGGAGAATGAGAAATGTATATGTATGTGAGAGAGGTTGAAAAATAAAGATAAAAAGTACACAAGCATATAGGTGAGATGCAGGGTAAGAAGGGAGAAGAAAAAACAGAACTAATGGAGAGGGCAAATAATGCTTTCCTTTTAGTGTATTTTTTACTGCTTAAATCTTAATAAAAAAATTCTGGTGATACATACAGTTGAATTTTGGAATAAGGGAAAAAATAAGAGTTTCAACTTCTATGTGTTGAATTATTTTAGTATACATAGTAATTTTGAGTAGTTGAAATACTATTTGGTATTGCTGTTTGGCTGTATGTATTAGTGCATTTAATTTTGATTATGTTTATTAAACAATGAACAATTTTAAGTACTAATTTCAAAATATTCAAAAGAAAAAATTATAGGTATTTAACATTTTTGCATTGCAAAAGTAGCACATGCTTATAGTTTCATTCTATCTATTGATTAATTTTGGATAATGACATACAGTTAGAACATATAAGAATTCTTTAAGTAAGCAGATTATTATTGAGCATAAGAAAGAGGAAATACAATTGTACAATAGGATTAAGATAAAATCTTAAAGTAAGAAGAAAATTTGGACCTGTTAATGAAGCACTAAATGTTTTTAAGAGGCAGTACGTGTAGTGTGGTGCAGAAATTGACAAATTGTGCTCTTGGTTACGTTTAAGTGTTGTGCTAATACATTTTCACTGGAAAACATCTGCTTCCGATTGTTTACATTTTGTCTATAATTACTTTTGTGCTACAGCAGAGTTGAGTACTTGTGACAGAGAGACTTGATAGTCAACAAAACCTTATGTATTAATTTTGTGTTCTTTACATTACCTTTCCCAATCCCTGGTAATGGAAAGAACTGTATAAATAGACACAACTAAGTTGTAATAAGAAAAGTCTGACTTTTGTACAGAGTGTTAAACCTCTGTGATTTTTTATTTCTTTTGAAAAATGGAATAATAATGAAATAATAAAAAGGAAAAATGATATAAGAAAATAAACATCAATTGTATGGTAGATAATAGATGCTCAATTCACCTTGCATTTGATTCTAGTGAAAATTCTCAGAAAGAAAGATCTTCTTTTAAGGATTGTCCTATTATTTTTTTCCCTTTTTTATTGTAAAGATACTATACAGAAGGGTTATAGTTACATGAGTAAGGCAATGAGTACATTTCTTAAGTCCTGTTAATTTTCATGAATATTTTGACCATTTGTTTTCTAGGAAACTGATGACAGATGGAGGAAATTCAAATAACCAATTTTAATACTTAAAAGATTAACACATTTGAAATTACAAATTGATTTCTTCCTTTAAATGATAGGTATTAGCTTTAGAAATTAATGCTAGATGGAGCAAGAATCCCTTTTCTTTAATGGAGTGAACAATTATAGGTATTTTGGGATATTTTTTTTGTGTGTATACCAGTCCTGGAACTTGAACTCAGGTCCTGAGCACTGTGCCTGAGCTTTTGTACCCAAGGCTAGTGTTACTTCCAGCTTTTTCCTTCATTGGAAGAAAGAGTCTCACAGACTTTCCTGCCTGGCTGGCTTCTAAGTGCAAATCTAAGATCTCAGCCTCCTGAGTAGCTAGGATTACAGGTATGAGATAACAGCCTGCTAGTATATGTGCTTTCATACATGTCCACTGAATGTTGAAAAAGCATTAGTAGCATAATAGAAGTTGACATTAAAGTAGTAGGAAAAAAATGTATCAAAAGTGAGTTCAAGTTGGGTTTTGAAAACTCAAACTTGGTATTCATTAGAGCAATTCATTGTCAAAGCAAAGCAAATTTAAATTATTTTAATTAAATTATTTTGATTTTATTATCGAGGTGATGTACAGAGGGGTTACAGTTACATAAGGTAGTGAGTACATTTCTTGCTGAACTTGTCACTCCCCTCCTTCATTTTTCTCCCACTTCCCCTCCCTCCCCATCCTCCCCCCAAGTTGTACAGATCATTTCCAACATAATATTTTTTATCGCGGTTGCATTTTATGATCATAAAATGTAGTAACTTATGGCTACTTACTTATAGGCAGACAATTGTGACTGTAGGGATCTAACAGTTACTTATATGTAGTAGTGTGGAGCAGGCTTGAGGCTTAAGGTGCCCTGTTGCTATAATGGGATGCTCTTATTTACCATTGTTAGAAGTATTGACATGGAAACTCAGCTTGTGTTAGAACAGTCCACATCATCTTACTTATGATAAATTTTTTATTGTGAAAATACCATAACTATGATAAATTTTGAGCAAATGGATTTATTTATAAAAATTACGAAGTTAGGTAAATGTAGAGGAGAGTTTTGCCACAGTGTTGGCCATATATGCAAAGACAACTTTATTTGATAAACTTGAATACAGTAAAACTAACTAGGACCAGAGTTACAACTCCGAGGAAGTATTTTATAATGTATATAACCCAAAATATTCTCAAGATCTGCAGCAAAGTGAATGTTTAATAGTCACTTGAATTCAGAGAAGTTAATTGTACTTACGTCATGGATTTACCTTTGACAGTTTGAAGCTATAACACGAGGAATATACAAATTCAGAATTGCTGTATCTTCTCAGTAGGCCAACCCTTTTTAAAAAATGATGACAAAAAGAACCCACTTCTACATCTATGGTAATGGTTCTTTCTTTTAGAAAAAAAATCTCATTATTACCAGTTAGTGCTTTTGCAGTATATCTTTTCTGTCTTTCTACTTTCAATCTTTTTCTTATGCCTGTGTGTTTCTTATTGACCCTAGGTTTTACAGTTTTAAAGAACTAGTCAAATCACAGTCTTTTAGTTAAAATGTTCAGTCCACTTTTATTTAGTGTAACTAGTATTCTGTCATTTTCCTGTTTTTTATTTGACTCACCTATTCTTTGTTCTCTATGTTTTCCTTTTTCTTGACTATTTTGGAACTTTTACTTAAAATTCTACTTATCTCTAATGGTGACATTTCCTTTCACTCTGTTTTTTTGGAATAGTTTTCTCAGAAAGGAAAAGATTTTTTTAATTGAAGAAATCTAGGTCTGTTACTAGTGCCCATATTATGGAATGGAAGAGCCTTGGAATACTCACTATCGTGATCATTTTTGGTATTGTGGGAACTAAAATAGATGTAGAACTAAATCACATGATAAGACGTTGTTGTCTATACATTTTATGTTACAGTGCATACATTATATATGGTCAGTATTTATTTTAACCTATCTACATATTGGTGCTTTTCCTGGACCTTCATGCCTTCATACATTTCTAAGCTTCTCTTGGGATTATTGTTGGCTTTTTTACATAAAGTCTGCTGAAACAAATGTTCCCAGTGTTAATACACCTGAACCATCTTTATTAGTCCTTCATTTTGAAGAATTTATTGGTTGATACAGAATTATAGGATGGCAGTTACTTTCAGTATTAAAATCGGTTGTCCATTATGTTTTTGTTTGTTTGCTTTTGTCAAGGCGGTTATTGGCCTTAGTATAAAAAAATGTATTTTCACTGTTTCTTTTGTGATTATTTTTATCTTTGCATATTAGCAGTTATTCTGTGATTTTATATTATGCTGTGGTGTTGTCTTCTTGCATTTTTCCTATTGGATACTTTATACAACTTCTTAAATATTTTATCTGATAAAATTCTTAAGCTATGGGAATGCCTTGGCTTTATGATTGTGATTATTATTATTGTCTGTGGTGCTGCTGATTAAACTCAGTGCCTTGCATACACTAGGCAAGTACTCTGTTACTGACTGTCATCCTCAGTCCTGTTTTTAATCACCTTAAATGTTTCTTCTTCTCAAATTTTAAGAGTTCTGGTATTCTAACTATACTATTTATTCATTTATTTTTGTGTGAGGTATAAGAGAATGCTCATCTTGATCCAGTCAGTGGTTTGATAACATGTTTTTCTAATGCAAGAAAATAGAACCTTGTTTTTAATTAGTATTTCTTTGGAAGATAACATTCATTGTTTTTGTTAATATTTATAAAAGCTTAAGATTACTGAGTTAGTTTTTGTGATGGACTGGTTTTAGTTTGCTTTTATTCCTATGGTGTTTCCTTGTTAGTTGTTAGCAGAAAAACTGAGGTGTTACTGTGAATCATCC